ATTTCAATCATCGTTATATATTATCAAACTCATTTTCGTTACCACTTGTTAACGTAAATACTATTATTTTGAAATAATTTTATCGATAATGAAAATAATTTTTAAGAAAATTGCTATTGTTTTATCTTCGTTCGAGCATCTTTAAAATCCGTAATGATCTTCTCACTAGCATTGGTCTTACGCATTAAAATAAAAATCTTGCTGCGAACACAGGAGAGGTATTTATTAATAATCGTGTAAATGGAAAATCTGGTCCCTATCCTACCAGTAGGCTGATGGAAACTCTCGTCAGCCGTGAATTGGGCTGTTAAATAACAATTTTATTTATCCGTATTATTCCATCCAGTTAGCCAATAAATATTGGAAAAACCAATCTAGATAGAAGAGAGAAATAAAACCCGACGAATTGGTAGTCAATCATATCTAAATTGAAAACTTTAATAGGGTAAGTCCAGTAGGCCGGCTGATAGTATTTTCAGATCGATAGAAGAGAGATTTCTGTGACCCGATTAAACGAAATAAATTAATCACATGTTGAAATAAATTAACCGCATATCTGAAACAATTTTTTCCAGATTGCAGTGCTGTACTTGAAAGATGCGTAAGTTTACCAACGTTGTTCCAATATTACAGAACATAATATGCATAAAACTACAGTATTACCTCGACAATGTGCAAGTGTTTATTTATAATTTGTGTAAAATAGATGATCAATTTCTCTCACGATTTTGGCACAGTTCGACTACATTAATTCCTTACACAATGTTTTCTTTCACAGCAACAATAATTGACATTACTCCCTCCTTAATAATTTACCCGATACAGTGAATCAATTTTAATTGCTTGTTGGTCTGCGCTTACTTTCATTCTTAGATTTCGATAACGGAAAAATACAAATTTTGTTTCGATTTAGAAGGAATGAATAATATACGGTGGATTATAATGAAAATTCATTTAGTGGATTGTGCATAAAATCTTCGTCACATACGTCGTCTTCTAACCCGTTGTTACAGTACAAGTAGTTAATTAAGCATATCCGATGATACTACTGATTTGTAAGAGAAAGAATATTATAAGATAGAAGAACTAATGGTGGTTGCTTACTTTTTCAGCAGTGCAACGAAATTTTAGTTACAGAAAAAGGTTAATTAAATAATATAAAAATTAAACAAAATTTTTAATAGTATAGTAGATAAATTATTTTTAATTAATTAAAATTCAAATTATATAGATCTAAATCGTAATAATATCTTTGCTCGCAGTAAATATTTGTTAAATAATTTAAAATTCTAGAAAACTGCAATAGACATATAGTAAAAAATTTATTCTTAATATCAGAATAAATTATATAGATCTAAATCAATAATATCTTTTCTCTAATGTCTAAAGCTTGTGGGGGTCTGGTCCCTTCGGACAAAGATCCTAATTACGCCAATGAACAAGCTGATTAGGAAATTAACACTTTGAAGTCGGGACTATTTTAACTCGAAATTCAAAGTAGATTTTCTGGCCTGTAGTATTTTCATTTTATACGTATAAAATTGAATTTTGCATGAAATCATCATCATGGAACAGTTACACTTCTAACAATTTTTTAAACATAAACATATTCGATAATGTTAAAATTATTTTGAAACGTGATACAGCAATTTTTAATGCCTCCCTAGAGTGCAAAGGGTTAAGAGAACATAATTTCTTGAATGAACCAGGGCTCAGAAAGTGGGAAATGGTCACGGGGCATCGCGAAGTGTGCCGAAATATGTACTCGTGAAACCCGCGAGGGATGCGAATGGAGATAGACTTCCTTCGCACGGTTCTTCTCGGTGAACTGACCGCAACGGAGCGGGAACCAGCAAATGATATTTTCGCATTATCATCGTAATCGGGAAACAATAGACATCGATTACCGGCCGCTGAACTTTCGGTGTCTTTCGAGGTATTTCGAGTGCGATTGTCAAATTCCGGTGCTCCCTATCCGACTCGACGTTCGACCGTAAGTTTCCGGGAATAAAATCGGCCGGCGTGTATACAATCGATTCACCGCAGCTCCCTCTTTTTCCTGCTGTATTTTTTTTTTGTTTCGCAGAGAAACTTTTTTTTTATAGACGAATGCGTTTCAACCGGACAGAAAACGTGAAACGTTGTTTAATATCTTTTTTTAGAGCTTGTCTCGATTTAACTCCCACGAGGTTAGCAATATTCGTGGGCTCGCGCTGCGCCGATGCGAGCAAGTGCATTGAAGTGCAAGCTTCGCGCGATAGCTGCCGTGAAATTCAAGGATCCACGGCTCCAATCGCTGGGAATATTTAAGTTCGGTGTTAACGGTGAAAACCTTTCTTTGGGCTCACTGAGCAATTTAATTCGGTTTAATCCTTGTGCGAAATTTGTATCGCGTTGCGAATAAGTAATTTTGATCCAGCCTGATACAATGTCACATTGTATTTGAGGGAAATAAGTTCGAGAAACAAGTTCAGTTCGATTGATCGTTAGAATGTATTGTTTTATTCGTGTTTTGGACCTCCGCAATTTTCATTAAATTTTATTGTATAGAAATTTATGAACACGTTCGTTGCGATTGTTACGTGTTAGGAACAGATATTAAATATTAAATGTCGTTACGAACTTTTCGTAATTGTTAAATTGATTAAAATGTTGTTAATTTATAGAAACATTTTAATAAGGAATCCCTTGAAGCTTAGAAATCAATTGAAATATACTGTTTCTATATAATACACAAAATATAATTATTATCATCTACAAAATTCCATACTGTACTCAGTCAAATCACAACTACGAATAATAATGCTGTTTATTGCTGTTTATGAAATATACATATGTATATTGTAAGATACAGAACGAAGCCACAGCAACAAATGGCATTAGGTCATATATGAGCCCTTCACTGCACAATTTTTTGAAAAATTTTAAATTTAAGTGTCAAAGCACTTGGTATAGTCATAACTTTTTATATTTATAATAACTTTCCCTAATAATTAAGATTAACACCATTAAACGATAAAAATTTTTTGGCCACGGAATAATAAATAATTTATTTCAGAGGTCACCTTAATTAACTCTGTACTATAACGTAAATCGTTGCAATAATGCAACTCAAATGCAAGCAAGCCATGAATGATAACGGTGAATTTTTTAATGCCGTCTTATAAGAATTTAAGTAAAATAAATTAGTCGGGCACAGTCTAATTGTCGCAGAATCAAGTACTTGTGAAGTCAAATTAATTATTATTAAGAATAAGGTTTAATTTAATATATTTTAACTTCTACTCTTACTGATCTACTTCTAACTTTTACCAGTCTTACAAGACTACATATTTTTTCAATCTTTTCAACATCGCTTCCAGATCATATTTTGGTTTGAATTATTATAAACAATTGTTTCAATTTGTCAGTGGATTTTAAAAAATAAAATTATACCCTTATAATCGAGATGAGTGAAACTAATAATAATGTGGTCTGATGGTTCTTCAATAAGATTTATCAACAAAAAGTCTGGCTCAAGAAAATGTTTATGATTATATTCGGATTCTTCTGATTGCAACAGTAAAAATATTGCAAAAAAACATATTGATTGGGAGGAAAAGAAGTTGTAATCCTGATAATTAGGGCCAAATATACAAAAATTCAAAAGAATAAAACGTTTGACATTCAAGAATAGAGGAGGAAATTTAATACCTGCAAAAAAATTTCTCGGTATAATAATGCCATTAATATAAGGAAATGTGTAGCAGCTAGGCCACAAAGTTTGAAAAATGTAGATCAGCCTTTATTATATCCTAAAGGTAGAACTATTACAAGGGAAAAAAGGAGAGGCATGATGGACCTGCTGAAATTCATTCCTCCTCTTAAACATGATTACTATAAAAACTTGAGAACAAATCGAAGCGACGAGTCCTCACATACATCTGATGAACAAGACATCATTTATATTGCCGAAGAAAATTAATCACAAATAATGATATATTATAACAGAACCATTTTATGAAAAATCTGCAATAAAAATATCTTATGATCTTCTTTTTTTATGTTAGAAAACTTAAAAATTTAAACACTGAATTTAAGTTTAAAATCGATTAACTCTTCCAGTAACATAAAAAGGGTAACATTACTAACGATTACCTTTTGACTATTTTTTCTTATTAATTTTTTATACCGTTAGATGAAAGATACATTTATATTTATGCATTCTACAATATTTATTTCGATTTAAATTATAAAGAAAATTTTAAAAAACAATATGCATTATTTCATTGCATTTCTCCACTGCTTGTTTTACGGAGTTAATCAATTTGTGCAGTGAACGGCTCATATAATAAAGAAAAGATAAAATTTTATTTTCTAAAATCTCAATTTGTAAA